AAGTGTATGCCCTCCCTCTTGATACAGCGTGTTTCAGAACCATGACCAGCCTTCGCACGGCATTTCTTAACTCCACACTTTGACCTGGATAGAAATACGTGTAAGGCGAGGAAAGACAGGAAGCCTCACCTTGGACTCATGGTGTCTTGAATAAAGGAGGCTTTGTCAACAAAAACACTTCAAAGCGTGTCTTTGGCACCTGGAAGCTTCGTGCTCCCCGCCAGGGTGCATCGTAAGGTCCTGGGTGTGCGGGAGGCATGTCTTTATGTGCAAAGAAAGTCCATATGTGCAAGTTGTTGAAGTTCTAGAAAGCGATGCCCTTAGAACAGTCTCCCCCTCTCCTCATGGCACGTCTCCATGCAGGCTTCATTCCTCAGTGTGTGACTCCACTCGTTTGAGGACTTCTGGACCAGTGACCTCCATGACCCTTGAACTCTGAGATTCTATGATGTTATGATTAGTGAGGCTTTCTCATTGTAGAAAAAAAAAACAATCATTGTAACTACTACCGCCATACTCAAGCACATGCAATCAACCTTAGTTCCTTTTTTTTAACAAATGAAAAAGGGCCACCTGTTAAATCAGCTGTGGGAATAATTGGATAAGGAGATACACGTATTGACAACAGTGGGCAGGCATATTTCAGTGAGAAAGATTTGACCTCTCCAGATCAGTAGCTGGAGAAACCAACAAAGCAAAGCCCTGACACTCTACACGTCGGAACTTGATTGCTGTTTTCCACACTTGATGTTTTGGGGGGAAATTCTGTGGTTCGCACATTCATGCTCACCAGCTCTCAGAGCACAGGTATGCCACCAAAGCCGCTAAAAACCGCTATGGCGGCAACAGACACTATCAACCCCACAGAGCCGATGAAATCACATGGGCTTTAGATAATAACAATAGAGTTGTTAATAGCAGTAAAGTATGATAATAGCCTTAGAAATATATGAACTTGATGAATGTGTCCAAATACGAACCATTTCCATATTTAATTATGATTTGTGTACTAACAGATCTTAGTGCGGAAAAAGAACTAATACTCCAGTATTTCTTAAATATTTTCATGTGGAAGTCAACCACAAGACAGAACTTACTAGGAGTCTCTTACAAGTTATAGCACAAAGACTATGATGTTACGGTATTCATGGTCGTTTTCATTTCACAGGACTGGTCATTTCTTCACAATAAAAACAGGTATAACTCTGTCCTAAAGTTAAGGCTAAGCAGATGTTTCCGTTTGGTTTAATGGGTGAATATGTCTGATTTCATGTGAAATAGACAAATGTGAAGCTTAGTAGTTTAAAATAACACTTTTGGTTGTAATAAAAAGCAAGGATTATTCTTATGACTATATAGAACACACATAGCTCTGGCATCACGCAGACCTTGACCTGACTCTTGTCTCTACCACACACTTGGGCCACATAATTTATTTCTCTGAGCCTTAGTTTGCTCAGCTCAAAATAACATCAACCTCATAGCGTTTTTTGAAATTTCAGACAGATAATAGAGGCGAAACCAGCGGGCTTGTTGTAGGTTCTTAGTACAGGTTACTTTGTCTTCTCTTGTCCCTCCTCCACCATTTCTGTAGAAGCTGATTTATGACAAGTGTAGGTGCCTGTGCAGAAGCATGTAAAGCGAAAAGCAGGCTCCAAAATTTCATATTTTCTATGAACAGAGGGAGTTATCTGGTTAGATAGGAAGCGGCCATCTCTGGTCTGTGTGGTAGAATTATATTCTCTATCTTTTTATTTAATTATACGTTCTGATTGAGCTAGCATGAATATGTATAACTATTGTAAGAGAAATCTTTAAAATTTTAGTGAGTGATGCATAATGTATAATCTTTGAGTTGATACATGAAAAATTACGTTTCCTATAACCCAATTTTTACTCCTGTTCCCTAGAGCATTTTATATTACGAAGTTAGTTCAAGATAAACAGACCCTGATAGCTAAGGAGTTGTTCACTGCCAGGATTATGGACATCGAGGGGGAAAAGAGAGGAGGTGACGGTGTAAATAATGTATTTTTATTAAACTTTCGTGGACAACCCCTTCCCCCTGCCTCTACCTGGTCATCGGCAGCTGCATCCTAACTGGCTCTCCACTCTCAGGCTCCCCCACTGCTGCCTTCAATGTCCTCGGAGCAGTGACTTCGTTTCCCCTTTAGCCTGCTCACACCTTTAACAAGTCTCTTTTCACTCTAGCTTTCTTTCGCAGCTGGTGATCCAGAGTACAGTAGTCCAGGCAGAAAACAATCCCAATGTTTCCTAGTAATCACCTCTCCCTCGAACTGTGTGAATGTGTTGTGAGTCACGTTGGAACCTAATGGCCATAAACTAGAGATCACCATGCTCATGGGTGATCGCAAGGCGTGTTCCTTAGTAATACTGAATTCTGTTTCTCCTGATTACACACATGCACACATGTGCGCGTGCACACACACACACATGCATACACACAACCGAGGAACAAGCAAGTGCTTTTGCAGCATTGAAATACAATGTGCTCATATTAATTCTACTTGAAGTATCACTTTTTAAAACATGCCATACATGATATGCATCTCTATATATAAAAGCCAAGCAACCAGAACGACCGGTTGCTTTGACACGGACTGCAGCCCAGATTGGGCCCCCCAATCCCGATCGGGAGTGGGGCCAGCCAGCTGACCTCCCGCAGCCCCCCCCCCCGCCGGCCAGGCCCAGATCAGTTCCAATCAGGGTGGGCCGGCTGGACCCCACCCATGAATTCGTGCACCAGGCCTCTAGTAGTAGTATAATGCTAGTAGATATATGCATCTGCAGGAAAAAGGGTAAATAACACTATGGATAGAGATGAAAAGACAAGATACAAAAAAGTCACTAGCATGAAGTATAAAGACCCAGTTCTGTAACCTGGCATTCCAGGCCCTCACAAGCTGCTGCCCTTCTCCTTCCAGCCTTACTTCCCATTCCTCCCGTGACAAACCATCACTGTCTCCCACTCATTCAGAACCTACCGCAGGCCCAGCGCTTGGTGTAATATAATCCTCACGGTGGTCCTGCAATTGCATCACTGTCCCCATTTTACAGACGAGGCTTAGTATCTGCCTTCAGGTCACACAGCTGGTTAGTGAGAGAGCAAGGACTCAAACCCAGGTTTGTCTGACTCCAAAACCAGTTTTCCTAACTGTTGTAGCCACACAGATCTCTGTCTTCAGTAGCAGCCTGACCTGTGCCATGAGACTAGTCATGATGCTCACTGCTACCCAGAAACCTTGTCCTACATGACCTTCAAAGTTGACCTAGAACTTAACTCATCTGTGCCATCTCTCAGCCTCCAGCCCACAGTGCTGTCACCTCCTCTGACCCTTAATCATATGCTACTTTAGATTGTCATCTATTTGTCCATTTGTGGGTGTTGTCTCCCCAACCAGGCAACCAGGCGCTTAATGGCAGGAGCCCTGGAAGGCCGCATGGACTGTCTCTGAGATGCCTCTCTTTGGACCATATTCCCTCCTGTCACCTGCAGTTCTGTGTTCCTCGTAGACACTCAGGACCTCAGCATTACAGTAATACTCTTCACAAACAGTAAGAGGACTCTCCAGTGCCATTAAACTAAGATCACTCAGAACTCTCTGATTTGACACTAAGGCCTCTAAATATTGAATGAACCATTTCTCTGGAGGCCCTTATGTAACAGGTATTGTCTAATATGATGTAATATCTGAAATAACCATCAAATTAATGTTTTTAAAAGATAAACTTAATAGTAAGTCAATTTTGTGACTTTAAAGGACTGAATTGCCCGGCTGGTGCAGCTCAGTGGTTGAGCATCGACCCAGGAACCAAAAGGTCACCCACCAGTTTGATTCCCAGTCAGGGCACATGCCCGGGTTGCGGGCTCCATTCCCAGTGGGGGGCATGCAGGAAGCAGCCAATCAATAATGTTCCTCTCTCTCATCAATGTTTCCATCTCTCTATCCCTCTCCCTTCCTCTCTCTAAAAATCAATAAAAACATATTTTAAAAAATAAAAAGTAAAAGGACTGAATCAACAGAGGATCATCTGCCTAGTTTCATTCTGTTCCTTAGCCTTCACAGCCCCTTCCTGAATGAGAGACAGTGTGGTTTTATTTCCGTTTAAGGAAAATCACAAAACCGCCTCTGTCAGCAATCCCCTGAGAATAACAGAGAAAGAACCTCAGCGAGGAGGGGAGGGGGACACCCTGTGTAAAAGAGGACTCGGATCTGTCTCCGAAAACCGGGCTTGCAGAGGAGGGGAGATTCCGACCGCCGAGTCTTTGTTCCTACAGGTTGAAGGTCACTGGGAGGGATAATCAAGTGCACCTGCTAAGGCTGAACGTGAATTTGAGGTGAGGGTCCAAAGAAAGAGGGAAAGTTGTAGCAGCCTACGTTAGAAACTTTGTAAGAATTCAAACCTACGCCTCCTTCCCTTCCCCTCCCCATGGTCTTCCCACACGCCCCCCCCCCCTTTGTCTGTTTCCCTTCCAGCATCTGATTTCTCACTCAATCTAATAAATAGTTGAGAGGGAACTACTTGAATCAGTGCCATTGATTGGTTCTGTTGTTTGCTTAAGGATTGATTTGTAAATCTCCATAATCCATTCCGCCTTAATTTACACTTCAGTATGTTTAGAATGACTGATCACTACCAGGCTTAATCTCTCCCAAGAAATAGCAAGACATATCATTTGCAAGATAATTATGTTTGAAGTGATCAAGAAACACTGTAGGTGTGGAAACAGTTTCCGTAATAGGCATACCTTGGGGGAAGTCAGAGGATTTTGTCTTAAGTACCTTCAAGAATGTGTTGGTTGAACTCACAGCATCTAACCAAAAAGCTTTTAAAGTGAACGCTATATGAGAGTATTTCATTATGCGAGGACGATGAACTGTCGGAGCGTCGTGCACAGAGAACTTTTTGGAAGGCAGGCTGTTTGTGTTCTGTTGCCGCTTTAATTTTTTGTCCTTCGCTGGATCTCTTCCATTCAGGAAAATTGGGCGGATTCACGCAAGAAAATAACACCATAGATTCCGGAGAACTTGATATCGGCCGAAGAGCGATTCAAGAGGTGCCTCCCGGTGTCTTCTGGAGATCACAGCTCTTTATCGATCAGCCACAGTTTCTGAAATTCAATATCTCTCTTCAGAAGGATGCATTGATTGGAGTGTACGGCCGAAAAGGCTTGCCACCTTCCCATACTCAGGTAAAAGTAGGCTTCGTTGTCAATAAGATGAAACTGCCCGTGTGCATTTTTAAAGTTATTCTGTTTCTTCACTTGGGCTGTTTTCACTGTTTGACCACTTTTGTATTGATCCTTTACAGTGAGAAGAATTTCGGATGTAGGGTACACGTGTCTTGAGGTTTTTGAATTAGTAGGAAGAACACCATTTTCTCCCTGGCTTGCGTTAACCGTTATTGATTGATTAAAAAGTACCAAAATTTGTGAGCAACTTAATGAATATTGAACATCAGCTCAGCACCTAGTAAAACATCAGGGATTTTTCAAGTGTTTTACAAAGATTCTATGGTCATTTGGGGTGATCTTATTCCTTTCATGTAATAGATGCATTACATTTTTATTTCAAACATGTATTGATTCTATTGAAAATATATTACTTTTTTTTTACTTTATGCCAGATTTGCTCTTAGTAAAGAAATTATTGGGACATAAACATAAATACCATGATAGGAATTTCATCAACTCAAGCCATGATTTCTCATGGACACATGATGAACAATGAAATAAAGAGGCAAAGGAGCTTCATAGGTGACCAAGGATGATCACATGTTTGAGTGTGATACTCAAAACCATTCAAACATTCGTATATCATAGACTCAAAGAACCTTGAAGTCAATTTGCTTGCATGAAGATCCCTTCACAATAATGGTCACAGATAGGCACTATCAGTAATTCCACAGGCTTCATCATAATCTAATATTGGGTCCAGAGAATGAAACTCCCCTGTTGTTTGGGGGAGCGAAGTGGAGGTTCTTGGGGTGCCGCTGAAACAAGCATTTTCAGAAGCCTCGTGGGAGGATGGGTATTGGCGTGGAGTTGCATTTCTCGTGTCCAAAGTCCCTGTCCCTTAAGTCAGGCCTGGAAAGGGTGCAGCTGGGGTTCCAGCAGAGCCAGACACAGGCCAGGGGCCAGAGCTTCCGTTCCATGTTGCAGCCGGTGCGGTTCAGCATCCGGGCCAGAGTAAAGCCCATTAGTCCGGGTGTGGAGCCCCCCATGGCCGTGCGCTACGTGGGCACAAGGGAGAGCTCCCCTGCCACAGGAGTCCCAAGAGGGAGAAGAGAGGGAAGTTCGAGAGTTTTAATATTCAGGGTTCCAGAGCTTGCATTGGCCACGCCCATCCTGGCCAATTACCTGTTCCCAGGGGTGATTGACAGACGCACTTTCCCACGTCACTCAGACCTTACTGGGCAAGTGTCTGTCTGGTCTTCCTTTCCCTCCTTGGCTGTTAAATAATAACCCGGTCATTACAAGAGCATCAGTGGTCTGTAAGTGGGAAACTGCGGTTTAAAGGAGGTCCCGCTATGTCTAAGAGAAATTATTTAAATTACCATAACTAGGAGCTCAGACTCGTCCCAAGATCAACTGTTCTGTTAGTAAATACAGGAATTCCCAAAATGTAATAGATGGTTAATGAAAATTGACAGTTGGATGAACTTAAAGTTATGCTTGATAATCAGTTTTTTCACCCATGGAATTTCATGCTGCGTTTAATTGGATTTATGAAATGAAGACTGGGAGGTTTTCATATACTCTTTATATTATGTAACTTTGTGAGAAAGGCTTTTTCTATAACAGAAATTTAAAATAGGAAATTATAAAGAAAAGTTGATCATACACTATTAAAAATTACATATTTTTTAAAAGGTGACCAACAATATTTGAACATACTTTCTCTGATGTCATTATGGCTCAGGGAAGATGTCATATACATACATAAATACATAGTTGTAAAATTTTTGAATATCATGCTTTGGTGTATTCATTTTTCTGATTTAACATTTTCCCAAATCTAGATGATTAAAGTAAATGTCTTTGATCCTTAGACATAAAAGACTTCCTATTGTATATTAGTATTCAATTTTAAATTTTAAACTACATTTGACTCCCCTTATAGGCGACACTAACGAGGATGTAATAACCAGGTTTTCTCAAATGGAAGGGGGCCTCTGTAACTTCAGTTGTAACGGGTAGATTGAATGTATAGCAATACTAGAGGCTCGATGCATGAAATTCGTACAAGGAGCTCGGCCCTCGCAGCCTCGGTGGCTGCCTCAGCCCTCATAGTCCCGGCTTCATTTAGAAGGTTGTCTAGACCATTGTTCAGCTGTTTGGCTGGACAGTCTAATTAGCATATTCGCTTTTATTATTATAGATTTCAGTGAGATAGAAAAAAAATAACATTTTAATCATTGGAACCACATACATGACCAAGTTATTTTATAACTCAAGACACATACCTATAAGTTCATCAAGGACACAACAGTGCGCATGTAACCTATAAATTCCAAAAATAATTTCTAAAAATGATTTTCTACATGTCATGCCTTTCAAAGGTTTATTCAAAGATTTAGGGTAGACTCTTTGCAAGTGACATGTACCTGTAAGACTAGAGAAGTAAAAGGTGCAGTTTCAGGTTTTCTCATCATTCTTCTGGTATTTAAACACAATATGCAAATGTCTACTTTCTCTCCTGCCACATGCATGGGTTTAAGTAGGTTACACGTTGTCTTAAGCCCCACAGTTATTAGAGTTCCTTTCTCTGGTTTATTCGAGATCAGCAGAGCCAACATCTATTTCTGACTTCGGTGTTTAATCATGAAATATGCTATAAAGCAGCCCAAATTGAACATTTCTCTGTTTCTGGGGAACATGAAAAAAATCAGCCTGAAGTAATGAAAAGGGGCCATTCAGGAGAGTTGCTTGAGTGTTGGAAGTCTTTGTGGTCCTTTAGGAAACTGTCCGTTTGATTGCTGCCGAGGAATCCATGGGCTTCCTTCTCCCTGAAGTTCAGTTCCTGCTCCTGGCGGTCGGAGCCCAAGGAGGCAATTTAATGCCCTACAATTGGTAGTGCCCTGTCTCATTTAAGTGCGTTTGCATGAAGGCTGGTGTAGAATGGGTGCTGGAGACCTGGGTTCCAAGCACACACCTCCACCCACCTTCTGACCTTGTGGCCTGGAACAAATCACTTACCGTCTCTGCACCTAGGGATCTCCCTGTGAAATGAAAGGAGCAGGTCAGATGCTCATAAAATCGCTTCCTCTTCTCTAGTCCAGAGAGGTGCAACGAGACTAGGCCGCCGCCACACGCCGCTGATTTGAGAACACAGTCAAGTAGTCAGAGGTTCTGAGTTCTCTGCATTATAATAACTGAATTGAGTTAAGCCCGTGGACAGCCTGTTCAAACAACGAGCCACCAAGATACCTTTATCAGGTATAAGTGCCGTCTTCATAATCGCTCCCTGAAGTGGTGGAACTGAATCTTGTCCTAAAAGTAGCATAACATCTTAAGACTCACCTGCACACAAAATCCTTGTCTCCATGTCTTGAACAGGTACACACACAAACCTCAGTCTCTCAAGGTGGCCATAGTGATTGCTTTGTGGCCTCAGAACAAAGGTTATTAAATATTTCTATTCCATACAATGTATTTACTTTCTTTAGAGATGGTTTTAGCACTGAGTAGGGAATTTGTCTTTGGGTAGTTGAATAACCCCCTGAAATGCGTGAACTGTGCCGACGGAAGGGCCTGGAACTGAGCAGATACTCAACACCTGTGAGCTACTCCCACCACCACCACCCTCACACCTGGCACTCCAGCCTCACCCTGCTGTTCATAGTGTGATGCCCACAGTGGTATTTTCTGTGATAAAGGTGGTCATTATGAGTAAGGGTTTGAGTTAAAACCCAGAATATTCTCCCTTTCGGTTTTTCATCTACTGTGCTTAATGTCAGTGGACAAGATGTTTCTATGAAATGGGGCCAGGACGAGATAGCTGTTTCTGCCTGTGCCAGGCTGATCAGATATTTCAACCTGAGGAGGAATGAATGGCTTACTTGAGCTAGAAGCACCTTTGAAAAGTGCCGAAATTTCCTCTGATAATTTTGGAATACAATTCTGGTGAATTTTTTGCAGGTCAAATAGCCACACTAGTCATTATGTTAATCTTTGTTAAGATATAAATGCACACAAAAAATTTTTTAATGTTAATTAAGTTATAGATTTTTTATATTTCTCACAGTTAAACTGTACAGTCTTACTACACAGAAAGATGCTTTTGTATTAAAGTAAAATCTTTACTGAGTCAGAAACTGAATTAGATATTCTAAATTCTGTTCAATAGTGACAGGAGGGTCTGTGATCAGCAGTGTTTAACTGTGACTCTCAGAATCCCAGCAACTGATTTTATTCCTGTTTGATTGCATTAAGGGATTCATGTAATAACCATTTTTTCAAAATAGAACACTGATGAAATTCCATTTAAGGAGTAGATCTGAAAGTGGAATTTTAATAGCTCACAGGCACAGTACTGTAGCCTTAATGATTGGTATAGATAGTCCTGAAGTGTACTTACACAGAAGCACATGCCTCCAGAATAAAATGAAAGTAGGTAGGAGGTTCTAGAAACTCAATCCCTCTACTTTTAAGAAAATCCCTTTGCTTTTAAGACACTTATCTAGCGAGTTTATTAAAACCATGTTGGAAAGTCCTTGTGAGGCCTTCCAAAGTCACGGCATTATCTCGGGTTACACACTGTTACCCCCCTGCTACCACTCACACCCCCTACTTCTTATTATCGTTAAGTTCTCCAGTTAAATCCCAGCTACCCAATGTCCATGATGAATCTTGCTAAAACAGAAGTTAAGTGTAATGCTGAGTGACATAATCATAGCATAGTTGGGCATGCTTCTGTTATGGCCATCCCTTCAGAAGCCCTCCATTCTGTATTTTTGTTTTACTTTTTATTTTTTTAATCCTCACTGGAGGATTTTTTTTTCATTGTTTTTTAGAGACAGTAGAAAGGAGGGAGGGAGGGAAGGAAGGGAGAGAGAGAGAGAGAGAAATCAATGTGAGAGACATCAATTGGTTGCCTCCCACATGCACCCCAACCAGGGTAGGGAATCGAACCTGCAACCCAGGTACATGCCCTTGACCAGGAATCAAACCTGTGACCCTTTAGTGCACTCTAACCACTGAGAAACACCAGCCAGGGCAGTATTTTTTTTTATTAAGATGTAAAGGCATATGGTTATATGTTTTTGATCGAACCATAGCCATAACCACCGTCAGCGCCCATGCGTGTGTCCGTGGTGCTTGGGTGGTTGTGTCGGGTCACTGAGATGGGTGGCATGTGGGGAAGGACAAGTTGAAGCTCTGAGAAAGTGCCCTTGAGTTCATGGCTCAGCTCAACCACTTTGTGCCCAACATGTACCCTGCCCACGCTCCTGAAGTCTCCCTCTCCTTCCTCTGTGAGGTGTAACATTCACACCTTCCCGGGAGGGCTGCCGGAGGGTGGGGTGGGGGGGTGTACAGAGGAAGTGTTCCAGAGTGCTTGTCACTCTGTGAGTGTGAGCTAGGACACCTTGAGGTTGTTGCGTGGTCTAAGGGAAATGTGGCCATTGGGTGTGGCATGTGGTAGATTTGTGTTCCTAGCCCCAAACTGCCCACAGCGTCGACGTGTGTATCAGCCAGATGAATCACATAGATGTGGGAGCCATGGGGCCCCATCAGGAAAAACATGCAAGGCCGGTGTGACCCGGCGGTTGAGTGTCAACCCAGGAAGCAAGAGGTCCTTTGGTTCAATTTCCAGTCGGGGCACATGCCAGGGTTTTGGCTTGATCCCCAGTGGGGGGCGTGCAGGAGGCAGCTGATCGCTGCTTCTCTCTCGTGGATGCTTCTATCCCTCTATCCCTCTTCCTTCCTCTCTCTCTAAAATCATAAAAACATATTTTTTAGAGTGTGCAGTGTAAAGGCAACGCGTGCACATAGTAGGTAGTTTTCCCGTCTCTGTGGAACTCTGCACGGAGCACCTGCCCCCGGACTTTTGTTCTAATGCCCTGCTTATTAGAGCAAAGGAGAACAGTTTGAAGCGGCGAGAAGCAGCCACGATTGTAGTGTTTCTGACCACGGAACCGTTCTGCTTGTCCCGTCCTCAGTACGACTTTGTCGAGCTCCTGGATGGCAGCAGGTTGATCGCGAGAGAGCGGAACCTTCTGGAATCAGAGCGAGCCGGGCGGCGGGCGCGGTCCGTGAGTCTCCACGAGGCCGGCTTCATCCAGTACCTGGATTCTGGCATCTGGCACCTGGCTTTCTACAACGACGGGAAGAACGCGGAGCAGGTGTCCTTTAACACCATCGTCATAGGTAAGGGCCTCGGGCACCCTTCCCAGGCCGCAGCCTAAGCCCCGCGCTGGGTAGAAACGCGGTTGGCGTTGCCGACACAGCGTGGTTCCTGGGCTGCGGAAGCCGGTGATTAGATGTGAGAAACATGTTTGAACTGTTCCTTTCTGAGTATGTGACAGACCATTTGGCACCAGGAGGAGGGATTGTTTGGATGCATCTGGAGGAGGCCTGGGCATCAGGTTAACCCCTGAGAACTCTGCCAGTGAGTGGCAGCCCTTGCCTCGCTGTTTAAAAACTCGAGGATCTGCCCGGCCGGTGTTGCCTAGTGGTTGAGCGTCGACCTATAAACCAGGAGGTCACCGTTTAATTCCCAGTCGGGGCACATGCTCAGATTGCAGGCTTGATCCCCCATGGGGGTCATGCAGGAGGCAGCCGATCAATGACTCTCATCATTGATGTTTCTCTCTCGCTCCCCCTCCCTTCCTCTCTGCAATCAATAAAAGTGTATTTTTTGTAGAGTCAGTAAATAAAAACTCTGGCGCACGCAGCCTGTTTTGGTTACGTGCAGCGAAAATTACCGAAGAGCCGCTGCTCGCCTTGGGCCAGGGGCAGCGACCCAACAAGCACCTCCTTTCTCTCTCCCTCAGAGTCCGTGGTGGAATGCCCCCGAAATTGCCATGGAAACGGAGAGTGTGTGTCTGGCACTTGCCATTGTTTCCCGGGATTTCTGGGTCCGGATTGTTCGAGAGGTATGCGAGTCCTGTTGTTTTTCCTTAAGCCTGTGTCCCTAAGCCATGGCAACAGGGCTGATCCAGGAAGCCACCGAGCCGGGGTGAGGGGGGACCTGGCACCCCTGTCCCGGCGCTGCTGCCTCTCGCTCCAGGCCCGCCGGCCCGGGCACCATTGACATGTCGTGTCCTGTCCCCCAGCAGCCTGCCCCGTGCTGTGCAGCGGCAACGGGCAGTACTCCAAGGGCCGCTGCCTGTGCTTCAGCGGCTGGAAGGGCACCGAGTGCGACGTGCCCACCACGCAGTGCATCGACCCGCAGTGCGGGGGCCGCGGCATCTGCATCATGGGCTCCTGTGCCTGCAACTCGGGGTACAAAGGCGAGAACTGCGAGGAAGGTAAACACGTCCGTGCGTGCAGGCGTCCATGTCACCCTCGTGAAAAGACACAGATTAAACGCGTGGCCTTCACGGTGGCCGGCAAATCCTTTCGTTTGCCTCCTTAGAAAAGTCAGTTCAATTTCCATACTCGGGGATGCGCTGGTTTTTTCAGCGTGTGAGCTGATAGAAAGAACAAATACCAGAGGGCCCCTTAGCTCTTTCTCAATCGTGTGAATAACTCTTTTTCTTGTAACGCTGAGAAAGCAAGCAAACATTTGTGTTGAGGAACCAAGAGCAGCCTGTTATATGAGTGGGGGTTTTTTTACAGATTTTCACATTGATGCCAGCGTTTACATGGGGCATTTGGCCTCTCTGGAAAGACATAACTAGTGAACAAAATGACTGTTGAACCGAATAACGAGTGAACGAAAGTACGGCGCCGTGGGTTAGTCCCACACCGTGTGCAATGGCGACAGTCCGATACGCCACTGTGACGTGCAGTCGAAGTGTTTTTTCAAAAAGCAGAAAAACACCGTTTCTGGTCTTCAGTCAAATTGATTCTATAGATCCACACACACAGAGTAATACAATTAAGTCCCCGGAATTAAATTTTCAGGCCATTGACCCTACAAGTGTAAAGTTCTGTTGAGTCCAATTGCTAAATTAAAAGTCGTCATCTAAAGCACATTAAAGTGGATGAAGAGAGATAGAGAGTGTGCACTCATTTGCTTCTCAAACGGTCCGAGGGGCCACACAGCAGCCAGCACTCGATGGCCGTGGGTCAGGTCAGCCAGCCCAGTGTTGTTACCAAGAAGCCAATGCGTGTGACTCCCTGATGGGGCAGGACAGAGAGCAGTGGCCCGAAGTCCCAGAGCAGGTGTGAGTGATTCATGAAAATTACAGATCCTCGCAGGGCTCGCTTCCCTGAGGGGCATGCCTCTCCATGCTTTATGGGATGACGCTCTGCATTTTCAGCAACAAGTTCTGGGAAATGGCAGGTATATGTTAGAGGGTCCCAAATGTTTATATAAATTAGGTTGGGATTTCATTCTTTATGTTGCACGCCCTATGTCTGATGCCTTCTAGATTGGTCACCAAATTGTCCTCTGCTCTTGACAACCAGCTGACTGTCTCGACCCTGGCTGTTCGAACCACGGTGTGTGCATCCATGGCGAGTGCCACTGCAACCCGGGCTGGGGCGGAAGCAACTGTGAGATCCTGAAGACCATGTGTCCAGACCAGTGCTCCGGGCACGGGACGTACCTTCAGGAAAGCGGCTCCTGCACCTGTGACCCTAACTGGACCGGCCCAGACTGCTCAAATGGTGAGGTCCCTAAATGCAGCACAATGGTGGGCTTACGATGGCTTAGCCAAAGCTTAAGATACTGTAGTTTTTTTAAATATACTTTTATTGACTTGCAAGAGAAAGGGAGAGAATGAGAAAGAGAGAGACATCAATGATGAGAAAGAATGGTTGATCAGCTGCCTCCTGCACACCCCCTACTGGGGATTAAGCCAGCAACCCGGGCATGTGCCCTGACCAGGAATCAAACCATGACCTCCTGGTTCATAGGTCGACGCTCAACCACTGAGCAATACTGGCTGGGCTGAGATATGGTAATTTTTGAAACACACTTATTAAATTTAATATAGATTTTTATTAAAGTGATTGTTGATAGAAATAAATATTAAACGTAATGAAATTTGTTGTCTTATAAAAAGGAAAGAAACAGGCTTAGTAGTTTGTCATTAAAATTTCTTCTGTAGCAACATCGTAAAGAATAATCTTTCACTTCTGGAAAGCACTCTCAAGGCCTGTGTACAGCGTGGGGATCTAAGCACATGATCTCGTAGTGAAGAATCCGCCCTTAAAAATTATTTGACAACCTAAGGCTAACCATGGTCACAGTAAAGGGTATACACCTGTAGGTATTATGACGTATAGAATGGTTCAACACTGAGTATTTAATTATAACACAGGCATATCTCAGAGATATTGCGGGTTCAGTTCCAGACCACTGCCATAATGCGAATATCGCAATAAAACAGGTTATAATCTTTGGTGGCGGAAGATCCTGACTTCAATGTGTAAAAAATGCAGCATCTGTGAAGCGCTATACAATGAGGTCTGCCTGTAATCTGGTAATAACAGAAATGGCAGGCAGTCATTTCATCCAATTGGTCAGGTTCTTGGTGAGCGCCCGCTGTGTGCCTGGCACTGTGCTGGGCCGACAGGGACAAATGGGTAATAAATGAGTCCGGCCCTCTAGCGGGGGGACTTTCAGGTGTTCGACCTGCGTGACCTACAGTCTTAGCTACCTGTTTACTGTGATCTCATGTACATATTCGTGCAAATGCAAACATCACTGAAGGAAAAGCTTTCCAACAGCGTACACACACTGATACTTTTTTACAAGCGTATTCTGCTTTTTAAACTCTGATGGCAACCCATGACTTAATTTCATGGCCGCTCATGAGTCCCACCGTTTGAAAGGAGGCTGTTCTGGTCCAGAAAATGACCGTGTAAATTGGGGAACTAAGAGGAACACACATGACACGCATAGAAGCGAGTACATTCGAGTTCATTGAGTTTCACGTGGAAAGATGTGCGAAATTCAGTCAACACCCAGAGGAACGGTGCCTTGATGCCCACTGAGAGTTCTCAGAGACTTTTACTAATGGTCTTCCTCCCTTTAAAGGTTGTCGTGAGTGTAGGGGTGGGGAGGCGTATTTTTTGACTCAGGAAAAGTATTACAAAGTACATAAGAGCCTGGCCTCTGAAATCAGGGCCGGGGTTCAGATCCAGGCCCTCCTGCTTGGCTCTGTAACCTCAGGCAGTGACTGTAGGTGTCAATTTACGCGCAAGACAGTCTTCAAGCAATGCTGTGGGGGTTCCTTGAATTCTGCCTGTGAAGTACTTAGGTACAGTGCTGAGCCCGTAATGAATTCTACATGTCGCTGCCAGCACTGCTACATTCGCAAAGATCCAACCCTGAGTGTGTCTACAGCCGGGGTATTCGGAGGGGGAAGTTGGGCTGGGCCCAGTTATGGGGATGCAGTTTAGAAATCATGGTTTAGGTCACGGGGAGCGTACTCGCAGTGAAGATGTGCACCCACTGATGTGATGAGAACAGTATCTTAGGACCTTGGTGGAGAGATTGCATATATGTCAGCGTCTGAACAGGGAGGCTGCTGACCGTAGACACGGCAGCGAGCTCCCCACAGGACAAGGTGACGAGAGCATGGATCCGCTTGGAGTTAGCAGAAACGAAAAGGATGAATCTGAGGGACTTTGTACTAGTAAAGGGAAGAGAAAGGACTCGCTAAGAACACCAAGTGTAGATACTGGTGAGAAGAGCTGACAGTCTGAAGCAAGGAGATGGGTGTTCGCGTGAATGTCTGTAATGAGGCGAGAAAGTTGGTAAGGGCTGAGGCTCAGGGTTCAGCAGGATGTCACAGCAGCGATGGGGGGATACGTGAGAAACAGGAGGTGATGGATTCTGCTCGGATGCTCAAACTCTCTGAGCAAAAGTCAATAATTTAAGGAAAGAAGATGATTGAGGAGGAGGGAAAGGAAAGGTGGAGGTGGAGGAGAAACTGGAAGAAGAGAGGAACCTGGGCTGGAAAGTGCATGACTCACAGAGCAAGTAACATCCAGGGGGAAGAAGAGCAACAACTGGGACTGGGGGCTGGATTGGAGAGGGCTGGGGCGGTCTCCCTAAAGTTTTCCAAAATCATCACCAACCAGCATTATCAGATAGGTGCGTGGCATTATTATATTTTATTTTATTTTTAAAAAATATTTTTATTGATTTCAGAGAGGAAGGGAGAGAGAGATAGAAACATCAGTGATGAGAATCATTGATTGGCTGCCTTCTGCACACCCACACTGGGATCAAGCCCACAACCCACGGAATCTAACCACGACCTCCTGGTTCATAGGTGGACACTCAACCACTGAGCCACACCAGCCGGGCTGCATGGCGTTATTTTAAATAACACTCTAACTTGTTCTGCCCTCTGTTCTTCAAAATATATTTTATAATTACAACAATCAAAATAGGCATTTAGTTATTGCTGTTGAGTTTTTATTTACATTTCCAGCTTTTAAACAAAAAAAAATGCATCCCACAAAGATATCCACTTAAAGTTTATAGATGAAATCACTTGTACAGTAAAACTATTAGTTTGGGTCCTTTATGCCTCAATCAGCAAAACAGGCATGATAATCCTAGTTTTAAATAATACTTGTTTGAAATGTCATCCTTCTAATTTGTTTCCCACAATCATACAAGGAGGAGAGGAATAACATAATAGCCCTTTTTTTGTTTCATATAAAGTTATTTAACATTACCTGAATTATTTGATAAAGGGCTGTTTGTAATTTGTAGTAAATAACTCAAAAGGTAATTCAGTCTTCTTCATAAAATGATATTGCTATGAGTAGCAAAAAGAGATCTAAGTGTTCATCAAAATATAAATTGGCTGCCACAATCGCATATCATTATTTTACATATTTAGACTAATTGTTGTGCTGATGTAATTACGTTGCTATTGGAAAATCTAATTTTTTCGCTATACAAAATGACTTCATCCTATTTGTCTCTGTGTCTTCAGTGCAAAGCAGAAACTTAACAAGTATTAAACGCTCTCAATACATAGAGCTGAATAATGAGAATAGTCCTGTTTGGAGGAAAGTGAGCATTGAATAACCTTTTCTATTAGTGGCAAAAAAAAGAAAAAGCGGAAAACTCACTTAGAATTATAAGTAAGGGTCTCAACTATGCATATACACATCCTGGGAAAATATCTGGAACCATGTGCCTCAAATGCAGCTACATGTTGCACAGTTCCCACTGAAATCTTACAAAAACGCTGTTAATTTACCTTTGTGACAAAGCTAACTAGCAGAATAATTCTGAACATCTAACTGAATCCTAAGGCAAAGCACTTTCCCAGTTGCCCCTTCTGCTGCTGCGGAAATGACCTTCAGGCACCTAAATTCAACAAGAGTTTACCCCCAAAGAAACATCTGGTTAAGCTGCTAGAAGAGAAGAAAGGAATTCTTTCCTCAGAAAGTTTATGGGTTTGAAAGCAATAGAACTCACCTCTATCTTCATCAGCAGTTTGCCCATTAATTAGCCCTTCAATTCCACTTCAATTAAATTAACTCTAATTAATAAGTTCATTACAAAGATCGACGCACCTTGCTCAGAGCTAGTGTGCTAAACGCTGATAAACACCTTGGCCCTAATGAAACATTGATTCGATGGAAGGAAAACAAGACCTCGGAAAGAAACCCCTGTCTTCTGGCGCTTGGTTGACATTCTGTTCCTCTGAAGTTAATCAAACCATCTAGATCTCTTAATCAAAAATTTAATTCCAACGAGAGAGAAAACGCAACACGAAGAAAACACAGTTCGTCTCTTCCAGTTCGTAGTCCTGGCTGTTGTTTGTAAGAAGTGTTCCGCCTCCCGCGCCCGTGCAGGGTGTTGAGATTCTGCAGCACTTTGAGACAGAGAAGGGCGTATCTGAGAAACGTCATTTGGGCAGTGAATGGGGAGCATGGGGCCCTGTGACTGTGTACCCAGTCACCATCTTTTAGTCGAAAAAGAGTGCGGTAGTGCATTTTCTCTGTGTTCGAAATGATGTCAGGGTTTTGGCGATCAGCATTTTTATTGCAAGAAAGTCAAAACTAAAGGATCGTTTTTCAATCTTAGAAAAGAGTGACAGTTAACTTTATTTAACTTTCTATGTAGACAGTAGAAAATAAAATGCCCTTCCACGTTGTCTGTGTCTCTCCCTCAATTGGATCCTATAAAAGAAAGCTTTTTAAGAAAAAAAAAAGTAATTCTGTACCTGAATTCTTTTTAAAGACCTAACCTATGATTATAGTTGTTGTTGTTATTTTTCATTTTGTCTGGGGTGGTTGTTTTTTTTTTTTTGGGGGGGGGTCAAATTTTTTGTTAATCCTCACCTGAGGATAGCCTTTCCATTGCTTTTCAGAGAGAGTGGAAGGGAGGGAGGGGGAGAGAGAGAGAGAGAAACATCAATGGCACGTGGATTGGTTGCCTCCTGCACATGCCCCAAACAGGTGCAGGAGTGAACCTGCAACCCAGGTACATGCCCTTTATTGAAAACGAACCCGAGACCCTTCAGTGCTCGGGCTGACACTCTAACCACTGAGCAGCGCCGGCCAGGGCCAATTACAGTTTTTAAGTCCTTTGGTCTGTTGTGCTCCGTTCAGCAGTTCCAGTCATTGGAAGCCTTGTTTCTGAACCGGCACAGTCAGTAGTTATGTGATTAACCTGGTTTTCCGCGGTGGTTCTGCGAGGCAGCTTGTATCTGTCAACAATACGCATTACTGAATGGGAAAAACGCAGTTTCTTTCACTCAGCCCGCATGCCTGTGCCTCAGAAGCAAGCTAATGTGCATACTATAATAGATTCTTTTTAATTAATGTTTCTGAATATTTTAAAATTTTGAACTCTAGGATTAGAAATAACACCTTTTCAATTCTTGCTGAAGGGGTGAAACCCAACCGCTGTTAGCCGCCTGCTTAGACCCTGACATACTTCACTGACTTACTGTTCATGTGATGTAGTAACACACGTGTGCATGTGCTCTGGGCTGCCCAGAGGTACTCTCGGTTACATATGTGTGTATTTTCCTCTGGTTACGAATCATGTGTTCTGTTTCGTTAGTAGCCCATGTGCACATGTGTATATACATGTATGTATAATATAGGAAATGGTTTCTAAAACGGTCATGTGTATTTGATGCACGATTACAGCAGCATATAAAATTAAGTGCTGGACAAAAACTGAACTTCTACCATTTATATGCTTAGCAGTTGACGCTGACATTTACTTAGTCCATAAACCCTGTGACGTTTGTTCAGGGATGGTGATCTTCACCTTCACACGGCTTCTTCGTCCCCGTCTCACGCCCTGCTGCTCTTCTCTCCTGCCCCGCTCCCCTTTCCCTACAGAAATCTGCTCCGTGGACTGCGGCTCGCACGGGGTCTGCATGGGGGGCACGTGTCGCTGCGAAGAAGGCTGGACGGGCCCCACGTGCAATCAGAGAGCCTGCCACCCTCGCTGCGCGGAGCACGGGACCTGCAAGGACGGCAAGTGCGAGTGCAGCCAGGGCTGGAACGGGGAGCACTGCACCATCGGTAGGCTGCGCCCCTGGCCCCCCGCCCCGCCCCCCGCACCTCCCACTGCGCGCCCCTGGCCCTGGGAAGAGCTAGTGTTGGCTGGGTTTCTACTCCGAAAAGCAGTAAACACGACAAACACACACACACACTTGTGGTCCAGACAACAGAGTGGTGGTTACCAGAGGGAAGGGAGCTGGGGGTAGTCAAAGGTAAAGGGGGACATTATATGGTGATAGAAGGAGATTCGGCTTAGGGGGGTGAGCACACAATGCAATATCCAGATGATATTACGGGAATGTACACTTGAAACCTTCAGAATTTTATTAACCAACATCACACCAATGCACTTAATTAACATTTTTTAATTTTTTTAATTGCAAAAAAAAGCTGATTTCTTCTAATTAATTTTTACTCATCTTTATTAAACAGGAATTGTTTTTCAGTAACATTCTCATTTTACAATGGCAGTTTAGTTCTTCCTAGAACAACTGATGTGAGTGCGAAGTGTAAGAAATTTTTATCCGTTGTTTTTTTGTGATGGCCACAAAAATTGACGCACGTAAAGGTGATTTCATTTCTTACCTGTACATAAGCTTTCATTGACTCTTACCTTTTAGTGTTCCATATTGCATGTGCATAACAAAAAAATATTTTTATTTTAAGAAAAAGTCTGTGTTCCCTTTTGGGCTTCTGTAGATTGCAGAGTCCCACATCTTTGCACTGGTTAGTATACCTAGTACCACCTTTTCAGGGTATTTGGTGCCTTTTTTGCTTTTACCATTTGAGTCACTAAAATGGAAACATTTAATTAAAAAAAAATACAACAAAAATAAATACAAGTGGCCCTTGAACAACACGGGTTTGAACTGTGTGGGTGACTGACCTGTGGATTTTTTTCAATAAATCCCTACATCGTGTTTGACCCACAGTTGGGAGTCTGTGATGCAGAGGGCCAAATGCATGCATCCACCTCCCCCATTTCTAAGGGGGCGGGGCATCTACACAGATTGGCATCTGCGGGGGGTCCCGGAACCAGGCCTCCATGGAGCCTGAGGGACAGCTTTAAGTTTTCAGGGAGTCAAGAGTTATATGTGGGTTTTTGGCTGCATGGGGGTCAGTGCCCCTAAGCCATGCATCATTCAAGGGTCCAGTGTAATCGATGTCTACCTCAGCTCAGTGAAAGTGTGCAATATCCTATATAATAAAAGGGTAATATGCAAATTGACCCTAAGGACAGAACAACCAGTTGCTATGATGCGCACTGACCACCAGGGGGCCGGCGCTCAACGCAGGAGCTGTCCCCGGATGGTCAGTGTGCTTCCACAGGGGGAGTGCCACTCAGCCAGAAGCTAGGTCATGGCTGGCTACCACAGCGGTGGTGGTGGGAGCCTCTCTTGCCTCCGTGGCAGCGCTAAGGATGTCTGACTAACGGCTTAGGCCAGCTCCCTGGGGAGCGGACCTAAGCTGACAGGTGGACATCCCTCGAGGGCTCCTGAACTGCGAGATGGGGCAGGCCAGCCTGAGGGCCCCCCCCCCCCCGAGTGCACGAATTTTCATGCACCGGGCCTCTAGTTAATTATAAATGGCACAGGCCTGCAACAATTTCATAACACTTGTGGTATGGCATTTCTCCACACCATTTTGTGTCTGTAGGGTAGAACTTGATAAAGCTTTCAGGGGAGTCTTGTTATCTTAAAAGGTTTTTTCTTCTAAAGTATCCATAAGGAGTACATACTTCGCTCTTTTTGCTTACAGGAATTGGTTAGCCAGGAATTTTTCATGGGAACATTGAAACCACATGGGTCCTATTAACTGTCATGGTTGTATCTTTGTAAATGTCATGGGGTTCTCTCTAATCCTGCTGACATCCCTGACACTTGTTTCAAGGAGCTCACTACCACCCCCTGTGTGGTGCCCACTGGCCAGGCTCACAGGCTGGGGTAGCCCTGCTCACAGGTAGTAGTTACCAGAGGGACAGGAGCCAGCAGGGGCATCGGGGAAACCCACCCACAGGCGTCCCCCCGGAGGGGTCCCCCGCAGCGTGCCTCTCTCCAGCAGTGACATGCGTCAGTGCGGGCCATCGTTCTGCCCAGGGAAGCCCCTTGGAGACTCAGGGTGCAAGGTTTTGATGGAGCTGCTCAAAGAGGCAGCCTTGTCGGCCACGAGCAAACCACCGACATTCCCGAGGCTCCGCAGGAAAGCAGGCTTTGGGGCTTCGGTTGGACAAATGAGCCTCATAGGGGAGGGAACAGCCAGCCCCCCAGATGGCAGCCAGGGCCAGCCTGCACACTCAAAGGTTCCCTCCCACCTGAGAGGCATCCTCGGGGTCTCATTGTCACAGATGAGCTCACTGCCCAGCCCTGGGGACACGAGATTCACAGCACCCATGGGTGCTCATCCCATGATTTCATGCAGCAGTCCCCTCCCCTGCTCTCAGAGAGGCTGCATAGGGCAGTGACCGCCTGTTGTTCGTGTGAACAACATTAGGTGGAGAAAAGTTGACAACCACAGTTTGTGTATCTTCCTGTGGACGCACAGGGGACCGTGCAATACCCCTGTGACCACACAGACCCATGTCAAGTCCCAGAATGCCCGCGTACCAGCGGAGGGCGGGAAAGGGCTCTGATCATGTTTGTATGTTATGACCCCACCCCCTCCCTACCCGGGCAGCAGTGAATCGATTCCAGCTGGAGAAAAGCTGCCTATTGACTGTATGTATCCCAGGAAAGCAACAAACGCGTGCGTATCTAGCGGAGAAAACCAGGAAGCGAACTGTAAAGTTAACAGGCAGGTTTAACTTGCCACCCAGCAGTTACTAAGCCCTACTGTTGTTCTCCCTGACCGTGGCAATGTCACATGGCTCGTTTCTCATGTTACGCTGTTCTAGAACAACTGTTCCGTGTCTGGCGACAAGCGGGATCGTTGTGATGAGGTAACATGTCTTGCTGCGGTCCTTAACAATTCCATTTCTACTGTTTCATTTTATTTTGCTGCTTTTGTAGTCCCTGTAAGTAACCACGTGGAAATAAAGGGCCTGTGTTATTTCAGCATAAATCCTAGAAGCGGACCCTTTTAAGATGTAGAGAACCTTTAAAGCATTGCTGTCGCTCTTTAATACGATGAGAAGTATTGCTCCAGGTTTGGGCACGCAAAGGTCCCACTGGTGGTCTGTGAGGTCCGAAAGGTTGGCGACTACTGCCCTAGTCATGCATGGGTACCTGTCCACTGTGACCCTGAGGGGCCAGTGCCAGGTGGCCTTCAAGGGCCACTGATTAGACAACCCAAGGACCTGAGTGTGTCCTCATTCCAGACGGTCACTGCGCTGTGCGTTTCCTCTATTTCAACACGCAGGCATCTGGCTGGAAGGAGCTGCCACTTTGTGAGAGAATACTCATAAACCAGCCAGGCTTTTTTTTCTCATTCCATATGATGTGCCAGCTCATTGAATACAACCAGAAAGCTTAATTGAAAGAGAGATGAAGGAGAAATTAAACAGTTAGGTGCACACCGACGTTCCCAATAGAAAGCAAAGGATATTCGTCATCTTCCTGTCTTCCTGCCTTCATAGCTGTTTACGCTTTTCATGAAACCGTAGGGATTTTGATGCCAAAACAGGTTATGAATTTAGAGTATTCCCTGATCACACCATCTATCGGAAAGGATTGGGTCCTGATGTTTTTTTTTATATATATTTTTATTGGTTTCAGAGAGGAAGAAAGAGGGAAAGAGAAAAACATCAATGATGAGAGAGAATCATTGATCAGCTGCCTTCTCCACAGCCCCTATGGGGGAGCCACAACCCGGGCATGTGCCCTGGCCAGGAATCAAACCGTGACCTCCTGGTTCATAGGTCAATGCTCAGCCACTGAGCCAGCTGGGCAAAGTTCCTGATACTTTTATTAGGGCACTGATGGCGAACCTTTTGAGCTCGGCATGTCAGCATTTTGAAAAACCCTAACTTAACTCTGGTGCTGTGTCACATATAGAAATTTTTTTATCTTTGCAACCATAGTAAAACAAAGATTTATATTTTTGATATTTATTTTATATATTTAAATGCCACTTAACAAAGAAAAATCAACCAAAAATATGAGTTCGTGTATCACCTCTGACACGTGTGTCATAGGTTCGCCATCACTGTATTAGGGTGTTCATATTTTCTTCTCATAAATCATACAGGGGTGGACATACCATTGTTTGTATAGAAAATAATACAATAATTAATAACTGATACAAGAAGAAACTTTTGCGTACTCACCACTGTCAGCCCAATTCTGCCCACCCTGTGTGTTCTGGTCGGGGTTGGAGAGGTGCTGCTGTTTAAAATCCTGGTGATGAGCAAGGTGCAGTCTGTTCTGTTGTGGCATTTCCTCCTGCGAATGCCTCAACACAGAGTTGCTTATTGAGCTACATTGATTTCCATGTACTTTCAGGCAATTCAAATGGAAATTTGGCCTAGGGGAAATCCTAATTCCTTTAAGCTACAAAAGACTAGCTATTTGTTTTTATTCTAATTCTTTAGTACACTGGGAAACAAGATCATTAATGATCACAAAGACACGCTTTGTGTGTTCAGAGGAAACTTAGATGCGCAGCACTCAGCACACCTCCATTCAATACCGGTTGCTCTGGGCTTTGCGATGCTGCCATTAGCGGTTGAAAATGAAATACACACAGTTGGGGAGTTTCCTACTGAACAATAGGGGGTAAGAGAACGATCAAAACTATACCAGGGGAGCACTCCGGTCTGTTGTTCTTTTTCTCAGGAAAATGGTGAAAGGGTCGTCTTTTAATTGTTAAATTTAAAAAGTGAGTGACAATTTGGGGGTTTGGGCGGGGGAGACACTCTGATAAAAGTTTCACTTGGATTACAAAATCAATATTTTTTGTAACTTTTGTAATGTTCCTAAATAGGCGATCGTATTCATGATAATATAGAACAGAGACATTCTAAATCTGTCTTTTTTGCATTTTCATTCGAGCTCTATGGTTCCCCTTACCAAGTGGACATAGGGTGG